ATTAATTATCACTCAAAAGAACTAAATAATAAAATAGCAAGATCCGAGTAAGAGCAAGAAGAAAAAACATTGCTTGTTGAATAAAGTTATCAATTATGTTATTTCCAGATGTCCAAGTGGTGAAAAGCCTCCGTAGTTGTAAACTAATACAACCTTCACAGAATCTATCAGAGAGTATCTTGTTGATTTACACTTGTTGCATTTTTTTTTGGTTTACCCGATTCATCTCTTGCATTTCTTAATTCAAACTCATAAATAAACCATTCTTACACAGTACCATTTTTCAGCTCCTTGTTTTGTCGGACTAATAAAAAAAATAATCTCCTCTACTTTCTTCATCAAAATTAACCAGAGCATCTCATTATCAATTTTAGATACAAATTCCATTCTTTCTGGATATTAGTTTATGGAATAATATTATATAAAAAAAAAATATAAAACTCGACTTGGTGTTTTAATGGATATAGTGGAGAGTAGATATAACAGTTACATTATTTCCTTTTCTTTGCGGGGAACTGAATAGCGTGTGACGAACAATTCTTCTGTACTCTCTTTTGGTGATAACATTAATGGGAGGGAGGTTAAAAAATTTCCCTGTAGAATTATTAATTGATATATAATTATCTATTACTTTCGTCATGACGCCCCTTTTTCACACTTGAATAAAAATTGCATTATACTTTAACATTGATAAAAATTCATCGTCAAACTTTAGTGATTGATTCATCGCGATTCTAATGCATTTTTGTTTAGTAAAACTTCATTATAGAATGTTTATATTAGAAATCATTATACCGAGCAATAGTAGGTTCACTATATCGAGCGCCACTTAACATTCTGATTTTTATATGATATTTATGCTATTGTATAAAAAAAAAGTGTAGAATGGAAAATAAACCTTTCTCTCTGGTCATGATTAAAAAATTAATTGTTTTTTTTTCAAAAATCTCAAACATAACTTGATATTGTACAATGAAGAGGTCAATTTATTCTATGCGCAATTTAAAGGAGGCATCCGACATACAATTTCTTTTATTAATATTAAGCAAACAGGGTCTGGTACGCTAGTTGTCGTCAGGTAAAGAGCCCTCTAGTAACTTTGTTTTGCATATTTAAAATCAGAGATAACTGTATGCGTGACAGCGTTCAGTGTCAACTTGTGAGTAAATTCTCGTATGGTACTTTTTTTTTGTAAATTCACATTCTCTAATAACAAACATTAGGTGAAATCTCTTTATAACGAACTTCACTTTTGTTTCCGATTAATTTTTTTTATAATTAATGTTAACTTCTCCCTCTATAACGAACAAAGGTAAAAAAATTACGGAAAGTTCGTTATTATTATAGAAAGAGTGAATCGTATATCTAAACCACGCCGATATTTAAATAATATTTGTGAAGAAAAATCCAACTTTACGATGTCAAACAGGTCCATTTTTTTTTTGGCAAGAATGATAGATATATCAAAACTATAAAGAAAGTAAGAATTAGCATCTAAAAATTTTTTTTCGGCCATTTACTGCAATTTGTTACTTTCTATACTAATAATACAAACACGTTCAAATTGAGAAATTGTGACACTGCTTTTTTATTTGCACTAAATAGAATCAATTAAAATATATTTGGTATAAGGCAAATTATTTATTAGTAAATGAAATCAATCAATGGAGGAGTCATCAGATAAAATCAATATCCAAAATACACCATTATCACCGCCACCATCAACATCAACAGCAACATCAACAGCAACAGCAACATCAACAGCAACAGCAACAGCAATAACAACCTCACCACTATTATCAATATTACCAGTAACAACACCAGAAGAACAAAACCAATCCAGATCTCGATCTCGTTCACCAGTTCAAAAAATAAAAAATGGTTTACATTTAAGTTTTTTTAATAATTCTTCATCTAAACGAAAATCACAAGTTGCTAATCAACTAACCTCCGAGCAAGAGAGTAAAATCGATCAGTTGAAAACATTTTTGGAGGGGATCGGGTCACCGTTGGAAAATGAACAACTTCAAAAATTATTGAAAGCTAACAACTGGGATGTTTCCGAGGTAGCAAATTACTATAAAAGCTTGGCAGATGCAGAAGAAGGTTTAATAGCTGATGTTAAAAAGGGTGTTATAATGACTGGCTCGGAAAATGATCGTGCGACTAGTTGTTATATAGGTAACAAATATAATTTTTTTCAATTTTATTAAATTGCGAGTAGTAACGAATAAATGTGTGTGTTATATATATTCTGATTAGATAGTCTTTTATTTGCCATGTTTGCCAGAATACAATCATTTGATGGATTGCTTTATATGCAAGCAGGAGAAACCAATGCTAAAATATTACAAACTCATTTGAGATTGTTTGTAAATAGGCTTCGTACTGGTGAACTTATCAATGAATACATGGTCAAGGTTAGTAGTAATATCAGAATGATTGGTAATGAATGATATTATTTTCAATTATTTATTATCATTATAATTATTATAATTATAATTATTAGCAATTAAGAGAAAAACTTATTAATTGTGGATGGGTTGGATTAGATGATTATGGAAGACCAACACAAGAAGATTCCAGCGAATTGTTTTTATTTCTATCATATCTTTACGAACTACCGTATCTTCCATTGGAGATGCACTTGATTCATGGGGCAAAAAGAGATCCAATGGACGAAAGAGTTGTAACAGAACGTATGATTCAGATTGCTATACCAGGTGAACCAAAAGATGAGACACCGGTAACACTCGAGGAAGCATTGAAAGCACACTTTTATGATAATTCTATATCTGGTATTAAACGAAAGCTTTTACCTGAGGAAAATGTCGATTTGGCAGTGGATGAAAAAACAAAAGGAAAAATACAATTAAGTATCGAACAATCAGAAATTCCTGTTACCGCTTGGCAAGTTTTAAAACTTTTGCCTTTTTATTCTGCTAGTAATGAACAAGGTAATTCTTTTCTTAAGGGAGGGAGGAGTGGGAAATAAAACAAATTATAATAAAATAATTATATAATTATTTTTAGATGAAAGAATAAAGGTTGATCAATCATATTTTCCTACCACAAATCTATTATTACCACTCGTATTAAAACGATATGGATTTAATGAAAGTCTAAGGCCTTTTCGAATAAAGAAAAATGTTTACATTCCACCTTTCGCCAATTTCAATTTGTTTGTTAATTCTGATGCAGCTGACGAACAACCTTATAAGTATGGAATAGATAATATACATTATAAATTAAAGTTGAGATCTGTGGTTTGTCATTATGGCGAATCACTTTATTCTGGTCACTACAAAGGATTTACTCTAGATGATGTATGTACATATTTGTGAGTTGACTAATTGATTAATTGATTAAAGAGTAGAAAAATAGTAATAAATTACAACAATAATAAATATTATTATTCTTTATTATTGTTGTTGTTACCATTAGGAGGAAGGATGGTATAGATTAGATGATTTGAACGTTGACCAACGAGTTACCAAATTCAATTCTCTCCAAGATATTACATTTTTATTTAATGAATTTAGTAAAAATGGGTATTTATTATTTTATGAACTTCAGATTCTGAATCCTGATGAAGTAGATGAGGATAAAATAACAGAACATGATTATTACGTGGCACAAAATCTACAACAAATAGAATTTTTAGATGGAAAAAATAAATGTGTTTTGCAATAAAATTAATTATATTTAATATTAATTTTTTATTTTTATTACAAATTAATTTTGATTTAGTTGCAGATGTATATATTGCTAACATTTTATAATAATTTTTTTTTTATTAAAAAAAAAAAATCATACCATTGTTCTAAAAAAGTCAACCTGTAATAAAAAAATAAATCTAAAAATATTATTAGTAAATGATAAAATAATAATAATAAAACATATTTACAATTAGAAAAAAAAAATTAATAATAATTAGGATTGATTGCAAAAAAGATATATAAATTAAAATATTTTTGCCCCAACCCAATACATTTATTCTTTTTATCTTTTTTTTTGGTTTTTTTCACTTTCTGTTATAATCATTAGTGTCCATATATATATTTATATTTATATTTATATTTAATATATATAAATATGTTGATAAAAAAATTTTTTTTTTTTTTGGATTTATAATTGATAAAAAATATATGTATAGATAAGATATATTTCTGTTAAGAAATAAAAGAGGAAAAAAAATTTTTTTTTTGTTTAAATTTGTTTTTTTCGGTTGTTTTTACGAAATATTATCATCTTTTCCTTCACCATTATCATTATCATCACCATCTTTACCAATTATCATAACTCTGTATGTATATATATATACACAAATATATAAGTTTCAATAATAATATGTATATGTGAGTGTAAATATACATGTATGAAGTTTAATATAAGAACCTCGTATATACGCTATTTATTTTGATAAGGAGCTCATATAGCAGTTAATTCTCTATCCTGAATTATAATTTTAGTGTGTGTGTGTGTGTGTGGTATTTTAGGTTAATTATCAAATATATAATAATAATATATGAAAAAAGAGCGTGCAAAAGAATCCGATAAAAACTCATCCAAAAATTTTTTTGCATATTAAAAATAAGACATCAAAAAACATCAAAATAAAAAAATACAAACTTTCTTCCGTTTCTTTTTCTTGTATTCTCCTCCATCTTTATCATGTTTGTGTCTTCGTTTACCATCATGCTCATCATGCTTATGCTTCTTTTTCTAATAAATATATAGTAAAAATAATATATATACATTAATGATATTGAATTTATTTGATTATTGATATTATCAGTATATAAACCTTCTTCTTTTCATAAAATTTATCTTCTCCTTCATTATTTGACGCAATTTGTTCTGGGAAAATTATTTTAAAAAAATTTGAGATACTTTTTTCCTTCTCCAACGCTAATAATAATAATAATTTTAAAATAATTTTTATAATTAATTCATACGTTGATCAAAACAGTTTCCTTGAATGTATAAATGATGATTAATAGTAGTTGATGAAGTCGTTGATGTTTTGTTAATATTATTATCCTCTAAGCCAATTTCCGATGGATTAAACTGTATTACATATATATATTAATATATATATATATAATGGTTTATTCATTTACTATTAATTTAATAAAATACCCCTTGTATAGGGCCTCGTATATATAATGATTTAAGCTTTTTTTCGATTGTTGCACCGTCTATTTGAAATTTATCTTCCCATTTACTTGTTGGTTTATTAATAACTTTTCTAAGTGTTTTATCATTATTTACCAATAATTTGCCTATTAATAATATATCGAATATGACAATATGAGAAATAAATGTTAAATTAAAAACATGAACGACGAGTAAATTATTTTTGCCATGTATTTATATATTACATAAATATATATTGTTGAAATACATATATTGCTCAAATATTCTAAACCTAACATAATAAAATCAAAATGTATATTTGTTTTCATACCAGGTAAATTTTTGATGTAAGGAAACAAAGTACTGTCTGGATCTTTTTCTTTGTATGGTTGTACGAACTTTTCATAAGTCTTTGTGAGGTCAAAATTATTTGATATACCACGATTTTTTCGTAACGTTAGTTGTTGAGGTTGTTGCGAATATATGTTATTTGAATCTATTGAAGTTTTAAAATCTTGTCCTAAAAGAAAACACGGATCCTCATTTATTATAAAATAGCTTACAACAATAATAATAATACATATCCCTATACAAATAAATATATATATTATTTAATACCTGAAGGTTTTATAAAATAAAAATCTGATAAATTATTATTATTATTTTTACTTTCCATGACTACAGGAAATTAATATAAAAATTTTTATTTGTTATTTTTTTTTAAAAAGAAAAAATTTTTTTTGGAAAAAAAGAGAAGGTATTAATATTTAGGGTCACATGAGTTACACCGCATATCACATATATTGTAGTCATTATGTGAAAAAAAAGTATAAATATGCGAGGAATATATTAAACCCCCAAAATAATAAATTTTTTTTTTTACAATACAATTTAATTCAAAAAGCTTAAATTAGAAACAATTGACTTTTTTTTATTAAATTAAAATTTAAAATAATAAAATAAATGGTTGAAATATCTTTTTTGATTTTTTTTTTTCTTTCTAAATACAACATATTGATTGATTAATTAATTGATTAATTCGTTTTATTTATTTATTTACTTATTAAAAATGCTTGCCAAAAAAAATCGTTTTTAGTCAGTAACTCTTCATACAGATCTTGGTGATCTCAAGATTGAAGTATTTTGTGAAGCTGTACCAAGAGCTGCCGAAGTTTGTATTTTATATAAACATGTAGTTTTTTTAAAAAACTTTTGTATATATTTATATTTTTTATTATTAGAATTTTATGAAATTATGTGCAAGCGGATATTACGATAATAATTTATTTCACAGGTAACTTAAATTAGCTTAATCTTTGATTACTTAAATAGAGAGAGTAAGAAAGATTAATTAATTTTTTTATTATTTAGAAATATTAAAGGGTTTATGGTACAGGTAATATATATATATATATATATATATTATTTTTTAAATTAAATTAATTACTTAATAAATTTAATAAATAACAAATATATTTAAAGACAGGAGATCCTACAGGAACAGGAAAAGGGGGAACATCAATATGGGAGAAAAAATTTCCTGATGAAATTAAATCTTCACTAAAGGTGTGTTTGAGCGTGTAAATATTATATGTGAGTGTGTGAGTGAATACATACGCAATATATTACGTGTATATAATTATTTAAATCGAAATAAATTAATCAGCATAACACTAGAGGTATTGTTTCTATGGCTAACAGTGGACCTGATACAAATGGATCACAATTCTTTATAACATATACTAAATTACCACATCTTGATACAAAATATACAGTGTTTGGCAAGTAAGTATTAAACATATAAAACGTCTATTATGTAATAAAATGTTATATAGGTGTTTATTGATAAATAAATTTGTCTTGGTGTGAAATAATGACTAATTAAGAGTGATTGACGGTGTGGATACAACATTAGATGCTATAGAAAATGTTCCAGTTGATGAAAAACATCGACCGACTCAAGAAATTCGAATTAAATCAATCACGATTCATGCAAATCCTTTGGCTGACCGTGATTAATGATAATGATTTTAATAATAACAACAAATGCAAATATTAATAAAATATTGAAATAGAAACCAATAAGAGATAGAATTATTAGTTTAATCTAATTTATTCAATTTATTTGATTTCTTTGATCGATAAAGTTCAATAATTCTTTTACGTTCTTTTTCAACAATACGTTTATCCGCTAAGCTTAATTGAGATTTATTACTATGTTTCTTCTTTTTTTGATAATAACGACCGTCATCATCATCATCGTCATCATCACCATAATTATCTTTTTCAACTTTGGGTGATGATATTATACGTAACTATATTTGCATAAAGTAAAAGTTTTCTTAATATTATTATTATGATAGTAGTTAATTATTCAATAGAATAAAGGCAATTGGATACCTTGTTTTTAGGTATAACAGTTATAACAGGAGGTTTATCAACTATTTCTCCAAATTTAATATCATCTTTTAAATCTTTAAAATCTTTTATTGCATTTTGATTGTTAATATTTAACTTTTCTTTTTTCTTTTCTTTTAATCGTTCTCTATACCTATAAAGGAAGTCATAAATTTATTATTACTTATAAAAACACACATGCGTTAAGAATGATAATAACTAGTAATCGTAATAGTAATAGTAGTTAATACCTTTTAGCTTTGATTTGCTTAGATGAACCTTCTTGGAACGCTTTAAGAATTCCTGGCCTCATGTGATCGTTTAAACGACGACTAAATTTTGAAAAAGGTTCCCCTGGTAATCTTTCAATGCCAGTACCTTTATTATTTTTAGCAGTGGTGGTGGTAGAGGAATTAATCTAAAATAATAAAATAATAAAATAAAATTTCATCGACAATTTACACAGTTTTATTATTATCACTCTCAAACTCATTTTTAAACATTAATGAATACATTCATACGATATATTTATAATTAAATACCTTACCTTTGTTTTAACATTATCTCTGACTTTTTTAATTCTGTGCTCCTTTATTTTTAAAAGTCGAGAAAAACGACGTGGAATGTCTGGTTTATCATCAAATGTTGGTGGTTCATCATATCTGATTATATAATAGAAGCTGTATAAATTATTAATTCATTGGATAATTCTACAAATATTAATTTATTACATTGGTTCAAGAATTGCTTTTTCTTTTTCTTTTTCTTTTTCTTTATAATTTGTTTTTGGATTTGATTTTTTTATAGATTTACGTTTTTTTATAAAATTATGCTTTCTTTTTTTAGCCATTAAAAAAAATTTTTTTTATGTAAAATTGTGCACAGTCTAAAATAAAATAATTTTAAGCATTATTGTTATTGTTATTATTATTATTTTTAATATTTTTTTTAATTTTGACTATTCTTCTCAGAATTTACTCTTCTAATTTTTCCTTCCTTTGTTTTTGCCAATGAGAAATCATTGAATGATCAATAGTAAAATGACGCCCAGCTGATCTTGGGATAAAAATAATGATAAGGAAATCAATATGTGATACAAAACCTCTCAAGTATAAGCACCCACTACCACCTATCCAACACATTTAAAAATGGTGGTGCTTATATTAGAGAGAATACGGTAGTTTTATTTATAGAGAAGAATGACATTTGTTATTATATTACTATTATTAAAAACTTTGATGATTAAGTTCTACAGTCCATACGATTGGTGAATCAGTTTCGATCGTTATAATATCGTCTTCCAAGTGATTTGAAGTACTTACCAATTTTCCAAAAGAAGTGGAAGTATTTTCTTTACAAGATTTAAGAGTTATATTTGTTATAATGTTATATTTATTATTTATAATATTTATTTAATTGCCTACCAAGATTCCATTTTAGGCCTGTTGTGGTAATGACAGCAGCCTCTACACCAATTGGAAGTAATCCACAAGTTGGACCTTCAATATTTTTATCACAAAATAATTGATGCTTTCCCTAAATAATAATAAAAAAAATTGTTAATAATAATAATAATAATAATTCATTGTATAGTATTTAGATATAAATATTTTTTTACCTTATCTAGTAAAAAAATTATATTTTCATTTGATAATAAATATATTTGATGTTGATTTTTCAATTGATGTAAATAATTAATATGTGACATTGCTTGATCAAATCTGCCGCCTGTTGCACCCAAAGCCACTATTTCATACTAAAATATACATCTGCATGAACCTTATCATTTTTATTTTCTACGTGTATTTGTCTAATTTTTTTTTACCTTTTCATTATTCTCATTTTCAATTAATTCAATTCTATCAATACATTTCTTAAAATCTGTAGAATTTTGGTCCTTATCTTCTTCAATCAATACACCCTACATTAATAAATATTCGTCAATAATAACAATATCGATTTTATGATTTTTGTTTCTGTAGCTTGCTTGCTTACATTTTTATCAAAAAAATCACGAACGTCATCTCTTAAAGAATCCAAATCTCCTCTAATAATTTTTGGAATAAATCTAAAATAATTGAAATAATTTATCCTTCTAATGATGATGATGAATGATAATGATGATGATGATAATTATTACTAACTTTCCATGTAAATCAGTTTCTTTGAATTTATCATATAATCTATTTGCTCCACCATCTGCACATAAAACATATTTTGCTTTTTTTCCCAAAATAAATAATAATAATTTAAAAATTTCTTAAATTCTTGACTTAATTCAAACAATATTTACATCTTTACCATTTCCCCACAATCTTTTAAATAAACCATCAATTAATAATGGTTGATTCAAAATTACCAAGATAAATTGTTGTGGATTTTTTTCTGGTTCGTTTTCTTTATTAAAAAATTTTGAAAGTTTCCAATTATTCATTATTAAAATTTTTTTTTTTTTTGCAAAAAGAAAAACTAATGACTGATTTTTATTAGTTTGGGAAATCCACTCGCAGTCTATAGAAGATGATAATACTAAACTAAAACTGTCTTGGAAAAAGTGCCGAAAGGTTACACTAGGACTGAGAAATTGATCATATTTTAAAACAATTAAAATACAAAAAAAAAAAATGACAGCCACGAAATCAACCTTTTACCGTTACCTACTAAACCAGGCCCTAAAATATATTAAGATTTAACATCTGACATTCGAACGTAGATAAAAGCAAACGCATTGTAATAATCCAACAGGAAACCACCTGATACAATTGCATATTCTATACCTCGGAACCATTTGATAGATTGTTTATATCTCTATTGAGACCGCCAGCGGAGTGAATAGTAGAATTTTCGTTTTTAATTTTTCTTTTAGTAATATTTAAAGTTTTTTTACAAGGGTGATTAATCGCCGACCAATTGAAGAGGTGTAAAAATGCGTTAATTAATAAGGACCTTTACATATAGTCGAAAATTATTTACTTGATTATTTAATATTTTGATAATAATTATTTTACAACAAAGGGGTGGCAGGAATTTCGACCTTATCATCTGAAGTTCTGGCAGAAATATTTAATTATATTGAAGACAGTCATAAAACACTATTCTCTTGCATTCTAGTGATTATAGAATGGCACAATATCAACATTCCCATTTTACTCTACCAGCAGCATCAGAGTACCAATTAACTGCTTCCTAGTCATAGATAAAGACTTTTTAACAAGAAACAATATTAAACTATCTTTCGAATTATTGGATAGATTACCATTATACAATTATGCCAAATTTACTACAACATTGCGCTTATTATATTATATCAATAAGAATTTAAAAATCATGGTATATAGTTATAAAGACTAGTGTCGTAATCCAAAAATGGAAAAAGTATGGTTGCAAAAGTGGTCGCAAAGGTAATTGCAACCACTTTTTATATGTCGTAAATACAATTACTACCATCATCATAATTTACGGCACTAGTCTTTAGATAGTTATAAATATGATAAAATTGTCCATTTTAGAAAAGATTTAGTAGACTTTATTTTAAATTATTCAGCACCAATTAGAAAACTTAAAATAGATTTAGACTGTGAATGGATAGTCGAACATCATAGATTTGAATATTGTTTTCAGAATCTTTATGAGTTAAGTTATCATTTTTCATATGGAACTTTTCAGTTACTTGATAAATTAGCTAATGTCAGTAAAAACATACAAATTTTAAAAATAGATTTTTTATTAGCTAATGGTGATATCGAAGAGCACGGTTTATCTAGATTAATTAAAGAGCAAAATCAAATTAAGAAATTAAGCTTCCTTTCACCTAAGAGATCAGATTCATCAAAAGATCTTGAGTAATTTTAATTCATTCAGATTCATTAATTGATTATCATTGTTTTGGAGAAAATGATTTAAAAAATGAACGTTTATTATTATAGGCGGGTTTGATCAAAGTAAGTCTTAAAGTCGAAATCTACGAAGCTGTTTGTAAAATATATTTAATTAACGTTTTATTATTATCAATTATTCAATAACTATATAGGCGGGT